ACTGATGATGTCTGAGTAGGTAAAAAAGAATTCCTTACAGAAATGACCAGATGTTTATATATATAAAACAACTGCTGTGTTTCATATCTGCACCTCAGAAGGATTTTTATAGCATTCACTTTAAATTTTACTAGCTGAGACAGAACACTATACAACAACTTATAAACAAAAAAAAATATTGTAACATCTATGTTGTGTTACAGAGAAGTTCAATCAACTGCTGCATCAGTTAGTTAACCGGAGGAATTCTACAAACTATGAATAGATGACTATTTTTCAGAGAAGTAGAATATAATACAATTCAGTAAATACAGTAGAATAAATAATATTTTTAAATAAATAGCATAAAATATAATAAAATTCAGATAGAGAAAACAAACAGGGTTGAATTTTTTTTCTGATGCTAAGTTATTATTTGTTTCCTATTCATAGAGTTGAAGTAAACTTTTTTTGATAATGACAGATAAATTCATAATTCATGAATAAAGGAATTTAACTAAAAAAATGGATGACTACTGTAATTCTAAGACCAGAAAACTGTCACAAAGAAATAAACTGAAAGAGTGAGAAAATTAGGTTCACAAGCCTCTGTGTATATCAAAGAATAAAATAACAAAAAACATCCCACCCCCAGAAACAAATTACACATAGTAGTACAACATGGAGGACAACTAATCAGAAATTAACATATCAAGTAAAAAAGAAAAAAATCCTATGAGAGGTTTGCTTATTTAGTGGTGTATGGACCTATATGAAAAAAATGTTAAAAAGGCCTTCTAGAAAAGTACTTCTTTTTGGATTTTAACGTTGGATAATGAAGCTATATTTATGACATTAGAGGAAACTACAATCCTAGAGAAAACACTACACAGAGGTATATAAGTATGAGGGTAATGTGTATCAATAAGAAAATTCATTTTATTTTGAATTCTATGTATGCTCTTACTGCATTACTGAGTTCAACAAATTATGAAAACTCACAGAAGGCAGGCTGCGATAATGAAGGGATTGAAAGAAATGTTACTAAACAAAACATGTTCTACAATTTCAATCAACTTAAAAACTTGAAGTGCACACAGACATAATATAGATGCCTAAAAAATTTCCCCCAGATAAAGTTTGTTGATAAAAGGACTGGATAAAGTTTTAGCAGTATTTTGAATGCACTGTTTTAGAAATTTATTTTTTAAATTATGACATGGATGAATTGATTTAAAATTTCAAGAAGGTTAACAAGTTGGCAAAAATAAAATTAGGTCAGGAAACAGCCAGAAGGATTTTTGGTATACTTGGCCTAGTCTAAATATTGTATAATATGAAGGCAGTATGGGCCATGAAAATAAATGGTTTCCTTTAGACTGGAAAGCTCCATTGATTTAGAAATTTAGTTATTATAATGCAGCTTTTTTCAGTCCAATTTATCACTTTATGACACTTAAAGAAATATTTTCACAAGTATAGTTTAATGCCATTTTATTGAGTATCTTATGATTATCTTCAATCTTTAGGAATTGACTATGTTTATTGGCAAGAAATCAACAAGTATCGAAATAACAAATACTTATGCCTTTATTACTGTATTGCTTAGGCTGATTGGAACTGAATTACGTGTTTATTTACTGACAAAAATCTTAAGAGATGGTGCTCAAAATATGAAGCCAAAATCATAAGCCAGAATGACTATAAAAATGCTAAAGTGTTTTGACTAGTAAAATTTTCTGAAATTATAATAGCAATATAACTTTTATCAATTACATTCTTGACTTTATTAATTAATCTTACATTTTTTATTTGCTGAGAAGATCCAGATTGTTTTACATATAACTTATTGTCTCATTTGAAAGACTAGATTATTTTAAATAAGATGTCTATGATTCCAAACAAATCTTTAAAATTTTCATGATAAAAATGCAATGTTATTTTGAAACTCCAGAAAATATTTTCTTTCATTTTAACATGATTATTTAAAATGCTGTAGGCAATTATTAATTTTAATTAAAATTGAAAATGGTATTTTAGTGTTTTTAATTGTGCTAATAAAAACTAAAGGTGAAGTAAAACTGATATCCCTTAACATTTTAAGGTAAATCTAAATATGGCATTTCTGAGTATATGGCCACCTCCTACATGTTTGCATGCATTTACTCCGTCTTTCAGTGCCTCCCTTTGCTTCATATCAACTTAGCAAACTGTAGCATTATAACAAAAGTAAGAGAAAGCAAGCCCAGAAACTGCTCATGAATAACTTATCAAGTACTGAATGATGTGTTCAAAATTATTCCTCATTTTTTAAACAGTCTCCTTTTGCTAAATACATCAGGTATACTTTAAAGGATCTTTTGTTAATGCATTAAAATAAAAATAATAAAAAGAAAAATAACTGGAAGCATATTTTTAAGAACATGAAGTATATTATTCAATGTTTGCATTCACCTATTTTTTTGTAAAAGCTGGTTCCTTGCATTTTTTAGTTTTAACTTTAGCATTCAGAGGTATAGAATTAAAAAGTTCTTGGTATTGACAATGATCTCTTTTGTATTTTTAAGTGTATCACCATTTCATTGTCATCTTTGTATAAATTACAGTGGCAGTCTCATTAGGCTTTTTAGAACCTTACAAAAACATAACTAAATATACACTATTTTTCTTACTATCAAAATGTACATTATGTTCATTATGAAACTAACTGCATATTTAGCAAAAAAAAAAACCCTACAACTTCAATTATTATTAAAACTTCTGATTCAAAGAAAGTAATTAGTGTCAATTTTTTGATTTCTAAAAAATTATGTAAGAGACTTGCTTTAGATTTAGAAGATGACACTATTTCTATTCTGAATGAAAAAGGACACAAGTATCATAAACTATCACCATATGAATTTGGGGGGCAAAATGGTCAGGAATAGTTTTGTTTTACAGTTTGTGTTATTAGACTAACCATAAATGTTTTATGCTTATTAAATCAGAGCCATGATGTAATTTTAAATATAATTGTATGACTCTAAGATGACACTAAATACTAAAAGTTGAATAAAAAGAAAACAAATCTAGACATGATTAAAGCTGTATGAAGAACTAAGAAGAGTATAAATGAAAACAACAGAATAGCTATTCTTCTGCAAATTTTCCACTCAGATCACACTTCAACCCAAACCCTAAATTTTGAACAGTATGAACTGGCTAAAACAGATCAGGGGAAAAAAACTGCTATGAAGAACTAATTCATTCCCATATGTATATGTGTGTGTATATATATATATATATATATATATATATATATATGAATATACATCTCATATATATGAAAATGAATATATATGAATAATGTGCAAATAATAATTTTTTGGGTGAAATAACAATGCATTCTTCTGACTTTTTAGCAACACACATAAACATTAATAAATTTCATAATCCCTGAATCAGATTTTTAAATGAAATGTCAGATTCTTAAGAAATAGAAAAATTTGCAGTAAAATATATGCAGCATTAATATTTTAATAATAAAAACTGTTTCCATTAGTCTTATTAATAAAAAATCTAGTCTGTAATGTAATAACATTTATAGATGTTTAAAATTTCACGTCCATATGTAAGTGTAATTTCACCAAGATAAGTACTCACTAAACACAAAAGAGGGCAAGTTGATTTTCCCACTATATTTGAAGTAGATTTACCCACTATATTTGAAGTTATTATATGGTAAAAGCAAATATTTGTATTTAGAAATACAAATTTTTATTACTCTGAATTATATACCCGTACACTTTTGCCTTGAAATTATTAATAATGCATTTCTATAGTATATATTCTTAGTTTAAGTGAAACAGCTGTTAAATACACTGTTTAAAATTTAGAAAATTTTACTTTTAATAATAAATATTAATTTTAAATCCAGAATTAAATTTCAGAGACAGAGATTACATCATATTCTTCACTTATTAAAATTAGATTTTAGGCTACTTTAATTCTAGCATGTGTGAATTTGTGAGTTACACTTAAGACATTAGCATCCAAATTGCATTTTAGACATCCCAGTATTTTCTGTTTTTAAGTATTTGTTCTTTCTTTGTATAACTTCAGAAATAAAGCAAAACAAATGATGTGTTAATTCTGAAGTGCTAAAGTGGTAGGTACATCATGCTGGGGTATTTGTGGTTCTGAGTAATTTGAAAAGCTGAAAACAATCCTTCATAAAACATCACCTGACTATCTTTGTCATCATAATGTATGCTATCTAACTAAAGACCACTCACTCCTTTAAGCATGTAAGACTTGTCTGTTTGTATTATCCATGTCCAGGTTAGTAGCGACAACCTCAATGCATTCAATCTATGCTTTTTGCATTATACATCATAAGGGCTAAAATATTCTTCTACTTTTCTTTTTCCTTTAAGTTTTTAAAAACACTTTTACTTTTCCATTTCATCAGTCACAAAAGAAATGATATATCTACAATCTGTCTCATCTTTTGTTTCTAACTTATAGTTCCACAGCAGATGAAATAAAACATTATGTAGGATGGATTTTCTATACAAGATAGGTCATCTTTTGATTGAGTTATTATGAGTTTTATCTTTATCAAACATTATTTATGTAGTTTGACCAAGATACTGAATTGTCAGTAATATTTTTTCATTAACGAAAAGGAAAATATTTCTATGTGGCAGAGAATGAGATAATTTCATTACCAAGATCCTCAAAGGAAATATAGAATCTCAAAGCATTTTTATTTTTCACAAGGATTATATAAAATAAACCATTTGAAGAATATAGTCCCATATTTTGAAAGAGTTGAGTGCAATTACTAATGTCTCAATGTTAGAGGAACCTATTATTTTAAATAAATGAAGAATAGTGCACCAAATTGCCGCCTGCATCCCGTTACTTTTATCCTTGTTTCTTAAAAAAACTTAAACTCCATTTTTACCAAAAAGGCTGGAATGTTGAACTTTATCTCCTCAAAGAGAACATTTTTACAGAGCCCTCTGTGTAATACTTACTCAAATATGGTGGTTTGTAAGGCGCTCGCGTATTAGACAGCAGTCCATCCAGCTCCTTCCTCTCCAGAGTGCTGTGAAGGGCCTTCTCCTTGCCAAAGGTGGAGAAGGACCGCTCTGCCCCAGGCTGGGCTTCTGGAGTTTCAAACACCTCAGTGTCTGGAACAGAGTCCATGCCGGGAACATGCAGATTGCTGCGATAATCAGCAGCCTGGCGTCCATCAGAAGGGACAAAAGAAGGCATCCAGCACCGATCTGAGTGGCCAAGAGCTTTACATTCCTCAGTGCAGTTGGAGAAGAGATCCATACCTGTAAGCAGAAAAAAGAAAGTACGGATGTAGTCCTCACCAACATGACCAGATACTTAGTGGTATAAGATTACAGGTAGCATAAAGGGTGACAAGTGAAGGTGTCTTAACAAATTTTTCTTGTCTTAATCTGACAGGAATCAAATATCATCTTGTCTCATTTTTGTTCATCACTTTAAAAACAGAAAATGATCTGCAAATGTAAAAGATAAGACTTCTGGCAAAGAGGCCTTTGAGATAAATGTTTCTAAACTACTTAGGGTATTGGGAAAAAGTATTAGCTCTAAACAATTTAAATAACTGAGTAATGGTGAGTCAAATAAGTAGACATCTTTATACGAATCTCTTGGGAAGTTCATAGCAGACAAAACAAAAAACAGAAAACAAACAAACAAAAAAAACAAGCTTTAAAGTCCATAATCCCTGATAATAATAAATACCTGACTTTTTTTTTCTTAAAAACAAATAAATACGAGAAATATGCCAAGCATTAAAAAATGACATTTAGATTATGAAATTTGAATATGAAACAGATAGTGAAATTGAACAGAACTGTGGCATACACAGAGGAAAATCAGTAAATAACAAGAATAAAACACAATCTCATTAGTAGCCAAAAGCATGCTTTCTGAGGTTCCTAGGAAATGACTTCCTATAGGTATTTCTCAATGACACTCTGGTAGTCCATATTACTAAAAAACCACTTATCATTTACCCCCTTAGACAAATCCAGAACAAATGACTGTAATTAGTGAAACCACGGAAACCAAATGCAGTGTAAATCAACTGCAGGTACTATTGACAAATACCTTATTACATGCTCTATATTGGAGCACACTTGTCCTAGTCAACAAAGAGTTGTTTGCTTACTAATACCAAGATTTAAAATGACAACTTCAAATTTCATTGTCTTCCTTTCGACAAGATTAGAAATATTATCTGATTATGATCAAGAAACGTCATTCAGTTTCTTAAAGCATAAGAATTTTCAATCACTACAGAATACTATTTGATATTAATGCTGATATATAGCACTACACAGAAAAACACTTAAAGAAAAATAGCATTTTAATGTTTTTCTAAACATAGTAACATATCTATCAACCAAAACAGGGCCGAAACAGTCTCAATCTATTCTCAAACTTTAAATGGGTAAGAAGTTCCCTGGCTCACTGGTGTGGAGCTGGATGTGGAATGAGAGTATCTAGTGGGCCACTTTAGTTTTTAAAATAATATTAAAAATAATTTAAAAATAATTTAAAAATTTTAAACAGAATATATTTGAAAAACAAAAGTATATTATTAGTATGTAGAGAAGAAACTTGAATCCAAGCATAGTCTGTGAAAACATTTTTTAAATCAAAAAGTAATATTTATTTAACAAACATACTTGATTGTTAATTCTATTAATATCACAAGTGATTTGAGATCTTGAGCAAGTTTTGGTTTTTAAATTCCCGATAATATTTGGTTATCTACTGATTAATGTGTGTTTTTCTATATGTTATCTGCATATATAAAATGAACAAAATAATTTTTTAAAAAATGAATACTCTAGATTATCCACAAGTATTTTGGAGTTAGGTAAAGCTAATTACATAAATTTAAAAAAAAAGAAAATAACAAGCTTTTTATCATATATTAATCTCACTGCGTAATGACTTTTTAAAAATTTTTTATGAAACTACGTAGAATGCTAAGTCTGACTTTGATTATAATATTTCACTGATAATTTTCCTGTATAAGTCTGGAAATAAATTACTGATCAGTGAACTGTTGAGGAACAGAAACGTGAGCTGAAGCTGGGATTAAGGAATCTGACTGAGAACAGCATGTAAAACATGTAAATGTTTCACTAGACACCAGAGAAGCTCACTCCTTTATCCTATTTTTGCAAGAAGATACATAAAAAGAAAAAGAGAAAGGGAAATAGAATGTCCCTGATACACGTTTACATACTAACTAGGTAGAAGCTACAGAACCAGAGAGAAGATTTATATTCTGACATGTAAATGCTGCCTATTAAGTAACAGAATGATGGGGAACATCGATTTGTTTTATTGTAGAAATTATCTTTGAGAGCAAAAGTATTATGAGCAATTATTTATTTTTAAAATACACTTAAGATATACTCAATTTGAATAGCCAATATAATTACATTCAAATATAAAGATAGAATTGTTCCATTGTATCCTGATAAAGATAAACGCTAATGCAAAATTTGAGCTAATACCATTTTTCTTCACATGAGGGTTAAATATCATTTTAAATATGCTAAATAAGACAATATATGACCTTTCACATTTTTTTTTTTTGCACCTAGGCCCAACTTTTCTTCTAATTGTGAATATGACAATTCCACACAAAATTTTAATAAACTGGTACGTCAACATATGCTAGGATATTGCTTGATTTTGGTAGAAATTACTTTTATGTAGTTTATACCCTAAAGTGCCCATTTTCTTATTTGGCAAGTATGTTGTTCTTCTGTCTCTTTTAATTATTTGTGTTTGTTTGAAATTTCTATAGATTACATAACAAAATTCACATGAGTTGAGAATCTATTATTAAAAATAAAGTATAGCATGTGCATGGCAAAAAAATTGAGGGAGATAGAAAAGTTTTTTTTTAAAAAAAAAACAGTATTAATCTGCAGAGGCAAAAAAACAGGTAAATAATGTGCTTAGTAAATTTGTGAATCAATCCTTTTAAAGTGGAAGTCTTTTAGCAATAATACACAGCTTTATATAACTAGAAGAAAAGGTAAAGTGTTTCAAATTGTACATAAATGTTTCACCAGTTTTTTTGATAAGTGTACCTATTTCTCAGAAAGAAAATCAGACATAGAAACAAACATTTAAAACATGACATAAATATTAAATCAATAAACTTCAAATTAGTAACAGAAAAAAATAATTGAAAATTGATTTTTTCATTTGTTGTGTATTTATTCAGTTTGAGAGCCACATAAATTGATTCCTTTACCATTCCTTACCTCAGGAAGACACTGTATAATTCACATTATTTTAAGTTTCATCATCTATTCCTAGTCCCATTAAATATAGTACTTTACCAAATAACCAGAGGTATATTTAAGTTTTGTTATGATAAATGACTTCATGATGCACAAGGATGCCAGATATTACAGTAGCTATGATATATTAAAATGCATAACTTTAACACTGATCTTACAATTTTTTAAGAACTCAAATTGATGGCTCAAAGGTTAATAAGTTTAACTTAATTTTAATTTTCTTTATTCAAATGCCCTTACTATGGAAACTGTGAGATTTTTACCACAGAAAATTACAGGCCAAACCTCAATTTAATTTAAAAAATTAAATAGATAGATGTTAGTGACACAAGAGCGATTTTGTTACATGAATTTATTGTGTAGTGGTGTAGTCTGGATTTTTAGCATAACCATCACCTGAATAGTGTAAATTGTACTAATTAGATAATTTCGCATCCCTGGCTTCAGTCCTCCACCTTTCAGAGTCTCTAATATCTATTACTCCAAACCTCAGTTTTGAAATTTTGGTAATTTCTAATAAACGTTTCAACAAATATTTTTACTTGCAATCCCTTTTTCTAGTTATTTATTTTTTCCACTTTTCAGAAATAATCTGTTCCAAAAGGGATGACAACTGATGCGATAGACTGCCTGTTATGTGAAGATATGTTCAGACAAATTTTAAAGTACATGGTTTTCAACTGGCAAGTAACTTGTCCTGTATACTCAGAGGCAGTGAATATTTCCACTGAGACCAAATTGTAATTTCAGAAATATTAGAATTGTATTCAATTTCTGCTGGGTTTTTTTGTGAATGTGATAATACAATATTGTGTGAATGTTTCTTTTTGTGCAACAAGCTTTCATTCAAAAAGTTTATTTTTTTTCCCAAATATGATAAATTAATTTTAAAGAAAATAAAAAAATTTTCATTTTTTGAGAAGATGTCTAGTCTTCTTTTAACTCCTTAAGATATATTAATTGTAACCACACAAATTGCAATATGTTTTAGGAAAACACAGTTTTGCAGCAGATATTTATTGACATACTCCCTGATGAAAAAATCAAAATACGTCTATCGAAATTTTCTCCCTACCTGTAATCTTTCATAATATATAAATTTGTTACTATTTCCTCTCAATATTTTGTCTTATATATTGCTTGCAGTTATAAATCTCTCCACGTTTTCAAGTTGTAGCTCAAAGATGCACCGGTGAGGGAGGTTTTATAAATAATGGTATAAGTTCATTTTATATATGAACCCAAAAACAAATTTGGCAATTATCTAAATTCTTAGTGGAGTTGGGAAATAGACATTTGTGTTTATAATAAACTAAGAATTCTATTGCTGATATTGTAGTAATGCAATGGCTTAATGCATTTCAATGATATACTTTATCTACTAATTTGGAATATTTGACCAATCACATCACCTTATTTTTAAAATTCATAGCCAAATTTTGACCATGCATTATATCTGTATCCATATATCTATAATTAGTTAAAAATTAAACATAGTTGGAAATAAGTTCTCCTATAACTGAGATAAAATTATTGAAGAGAAATTTGACAATTTTCGGAGAACATCTAACAAGTAATTCAATCACTTATTAGGGTTCCCTCTTCGACATATTTTTTTAAAGGCACAAGATATTAAAAATAAAAAACATAAAGTAAAAAATTTAATATTTATAAATTATAAAGTTAAAATTAACTTGGCATTATTGACAGTGCAGGTATTTTGTAATGGGAAAAGCAACTTCTCACTACTAAACAGATCACTTTTGGTAAACCTCAAATAGTATTAAAATGTTTAAGAATATATAATTTAAAATATTCCATCTGTACCCTAAAATAGAAAAAAATAATTATGTTTTAATCTAATGACATAATAAGTTGAAAATATATTTATTTGAAGTCCAAGTCTTTGGCTATTTGAGCTGTGATTAATCAGTTTTTCCTCTTGTGATGGTTTATCTATGCATTTACTACTTCTCCTTGGACTTCTGCCATATCTAACCAATACATCAATAGTGCACTGAAAAAGACGGAAAGCACCTTGACAAGGCTATACAAAGAAAGTGCCACAGAGCAGTGGTCAAGGCGAAGAATTTCACACATGGAGCCAGGTGCAGTAGAAAACTGAAAAAGCTTATGTGATTCTCTGTGCAGCTGCCTTCGTGTTTAAAGCCCTTCTATGAACAAGATTGGTGACAGCAAATGGCTTAGAAAAAAAGAAAAGCAAGAAGGAGGGGGTGGAAAATAGAACAAAAAAAGAAAACTATTCATAAAAGAATAAATAGAAAGCATATCTAAATAAATAATACAAAATAATGTCAATGTAGAAAAAGAAATAGGAATAAAGAAGAAGTTTAGAAGTTTAAACAGGTGAAGCACTAAGCCAAATAGTCTGTATCCTATAGTGTGCAATGGAGTACAAATTGAAAGAGATAATTTGGAGTCTTTATCTTTCCAATGTTATTTTTTCCTGATAATCTAACTTTTCCCTACTAAATCCTAGTTAAGTGAGATTTGCTTATTGTATAGTTTTTTTTTTTTTCCCTATACTGAACTTCGAAAGCTTTGCTATGAGCAGTATGACCTAATTTTGCAAAATTGGAAGAACATTAATGTCTGGCTTTACAATTAAATAAAACAGATTTATCTGAAATAGGCTTAAATATTTGGAAATAGTCTAACTGCCTCATGTGAGGTTTACAGTACATAACAGCAGTGTGGATTGAAAAAAGTCTTTGAGTAAATACATTTTAATTCTCTGCATTTGAGGTTTTATACTTAAAAAAGAAAGCACTTCAAAATCATTCTTACAATAAAATTAGACATTATATCTGATTGCAATTCAGCACACAAAGGTGCAATCACTTCTTAACATAAGTGCTTTATTACAATCCTAAAATAGCTATTATTGTGCCCAGTATGTTGTGGCTGCCCTGTAACTACTAATGAGATACATAAACAGATTGCTAATTCTGTAATATTTTTAATGTTTAAGAACTTAAAGATAGGGGAAAAATTGTAACATTTTGGTAAAGAAAAGTAAAAATTGCCTTGCCAAAATCTTTTGGAACACATTTTAACATTTTAGCATTCCTTTAAATGCTTTGACCTCTCCAATAATTTGAAAGGAACACTACTGAAATGGCAACACTGAGCGACTGTGAAATAAAGTAGCTACTGGGAAGAAGCACAGATAAGAATATGTTCTCAGCTATTTTCCAAATTTGGCTCCTTTTGCAGATGTTTATTCATTTCTCTTTCTTCAGTTACGTTATTATGGGTCATTATGTCTGAGGGACTAAACTAATTGAAATGTTCATTGAGATTGAAGTGCTACAGAAAAAACAAAGAGGAGAGTGTGGGGTGGGAAAGGAGTAAAATCCATCCAAAGAAGCATGCAACAGATACTCTTTTTTAAACATTAATCATTTTGTTTTAAAAGTTTTAAAAGGCTGACAATTAAATTAGAAAACTCTGAAAAAAAGAACAGGAATGAGCAATTTTAAATGTACAGTTTTTAAAGATAACAATAAATCATATGCCATATATAGGGCAAAAATGAAAGGGACTTTGTACTCACATATAAACTTCTGGCAAGATCTGGTTTGTTGTCAGGTTCCCAGACACTAAATAGATGCTCTGTTCACTTAGCGTGAAGGCCCGCAAGGGGCAGGGACCTCCGGGGATTCTTGGCAGTTCTCAAGTCTCATTAGGTCTGCATATTAATGACTCACAGCAATATAAAGAGACCCTTGAGCAGCCTTTTTTCCCTTCCTCCTGCCTGGGTTTCCCAAGGCTAAGGCAGCCACAGACACAGCACACATTAGCCAAGTGAGAGGCTTGTAGCAACCACTGCTGCCAGGCCACCGTGGGGTGTACACTGCCCTTTGACACACTGCCTCAGCACCATCCAGAGGTCCACCTAGTGTGTTAAGGAATGGGTGCTCTCGAGGACTAATACCACCTTGAAAGTAAGAACCTATCACTCTATATTTATACTATTAGCTAAAATAAAGGTCCAATCTCAAGAGAGCCAAGTTGAACCCAGAGACAGTCTAAGATCGACATTTTCAGAAATTAGAAAACTTGACTAGCCTTTCTGTTTCTTCATGTGTGGTACAAACACAAAACTAGATAGAAAAACTAAAATATTTAATAAACACCCTTCAAAGATGAAAATCAAATAATTAGGAAGGACACTGGAAGTTTATTAAATCATTTTCATTTTAACATCCATATTTTATTTCATGTAAGAGTTTCCTTTTAGTATTAGTAGTAAGAGTTACCAGGATCTCATAAAACTTGACTTTATAAAAAGAAAAGTAAAATAAAATAAATATTTATCACATTGAAACCCCATCAGTGACTACCATCAAACTCACATAAAAATTACGCTCAGAGTTTATCTTTTGATAATGTCATGGACCCTGTTGAAAATATGAAGAAACCAAGGACACTTCAGAAAATACACATTATCACGTATTACTACTGTTCTGAAGCCTAAGACTCAAGATTAGAAACCCTGTTTTCAATCCATTAATGACTTTTAATCACCATTATTTTCTCATTCAATACTTGGTTGTGTATAAAATGCATTGCCCTGGAAAACAAGAAATATGGATTCTAGTCTTCAGTCATCCATTTATTCTCTAGTGACCTTGTGCAAGTCAACCAGTTTTATCCATCTTCAGTTACCTCATCCATAAACTAGTTTAAGAATACCTTAATTGACTGAAGACTGGTGACTGCACCAGGTGAGAGAGCTATGGCTTTCTGTATGTAATGGGTACATTAAAGAACATTACATAAGCAAGATATATTTCATAGTCTGATATACTCCACAATTCCTAACTTTAACTTTCCAAAGGAACATTGCATTTTTACAATTCTCTTTAAGTTTGCAATTATGAAAATAGACTGACACTATTTATCTGTGGAGTTACCAGCAGGAAACATGCAGAAAAATGCCTAGGACATCATCCTTCCTGAATTTATTTTTTAAAATAAAAATTATAAAAGTTAGCATTTAGATTGCCCTTTGATCACACTTACCAGCCGACTGGGCACGGTTGGTGGCATCATGATCACTATCTCCCTGTTCACTGTCTCCATGACCACTGTCCTTAGAGCTTACTATGTCGGCTTCCTGGAATGCAGAACTAGAAGTACAAAAATGTGAATATTAGAATTAAAAAGGTGAAGAAACACAGGAAACATTCTTCTGCCACCACATGGTCACAGATGGTGCTGCAGACTCACAGACCTTTTAGTTGGCTTTGTTTCTGCATAAGGCTAGTTTTTATAACCTAAGTGCAACTCTTTAAAAGTTAACAATTAAGAGTCAATTTGAGCATATAAGTCATGTAAAGGTTAAGCATTAGTTTATAATTGGAGCTAAATACATGTATATACAGTTTTCATAAAATAGATATGTATTTGGAACAGTATGACTATCAGAAGCTGTGTAGGAGTGTAAATTGACAAAATATTCAAATATTTATGTTGTATATAAATAAAATATAATGGAATTTTTTCATATATTGTCTAGGAAACACAATATAGTCCATATTTATGTCCTGCCCTAATTGAAACTACTTCATACATTTTATATGTTAATTTAGAATAATATACCTATTTCCTACTTTTACTCAGTTGTAAATTGTCCATAACTGCTAGGGAGAAAAAAAAGTCCATACCTGTTAACTCGGCGAGGTCTGTCAACTAGATAGCTGAGCTCTGCTCGCTGGTGTTTAGTCTAGGAAAAAAATAAATAAATCAAGAGCATTTGAATGCTATGGGGTGAACTAGTAGTCTACTTTTGAGGTTAGAAACTATACCTAGTTTCAGTAACTGTATGCATTTTTATGAATTTCCAAGCTCTCTTAAGACCTGAGCCCAGTGTTTGCTGTGTAAGGGCAGGGGAGATATGCAGAGACACTTGAATCCACATTTTAGTCAGTTGTAGAGGTTAAAAAAATAAAACTGGCTAACTTTAAATGTGTGTGTGTGTGTGTGTGTGTGTGTGTGTGTGTGTGTTTAAAGAGAAAATAAAATGACCTCATAGCAAGAGCTCATATACTGTTGTCTCTAACAGTCAACCTGTTTATATTCTGCAGTCTTTTTTTCAGCGACCTAAAAATGTGTTTATGTGCATACTGGTTGACACAAGAAAAACAGCACGCTCAATAAGCAAAAAGTTTGGATATTTTAAGGAATTATGTTGTTGTTTATTTTCAAAATGTGCTTAAGATACAAATGAGCTGTACAAATATTCATGAAAGTCAATTAATAATATCTGAGACTCAAATAAAATAACCTGCTAGGAAAGGAGTTCATAATCCTGCCCGCCCCCCCATACACCCCCATTCTTTTCCTCTCCAAAGGCCCTCTGCATTCTCCTCCCCACCTCTACCACCCACACACCTTTCCCGTCCAAACTTTCTTTTACATAAACCAACTTTGTTCTCTCCCCAACCCCCGCCCTCCAACTTTGTCACTTCTCCATCCTTTTAAAAAGAAGTCAGAATTGACAAGCCGAATTCTTTTATGAAGAAAGCCAACAGTATTGATTTATCCAAACAGAGGCAAGAAGGTGATTATTAGCTAAAAAGATATATTTAAGACAACAATTGTTTAAGCCTTTCGTTAGGTTACTCTTAACAGGGGTTTGTGCCAAAGCAACTTCATTTGAATTCACACTGTGTGGGCGCTCGGCTTCAAGAGCGTCTGTAAATGCTGTCCAGAGCCGAACTGAAGGCTTTTTTTCTCAACCCGAGTTCAGAGGACAAGGGTCTGATAACTTGTTCACTAAAACATGCATTCGAGGTTAGACAATTGTGTAAAGTTCAACAATCTATAGCTTACTTGTACACGCGACTGAAAGCATCGTTAAACAAAGGAAAATAGAACCAACTTTATTAACGCCTGGGACAGATGCAAAGCAAAAAGACCGTTGCCACTGCTGAAAATTCCCTCCTCCACATTTCCCTCTCCCTTCAGGCACTTTCCTTTTATCCTCAGGTTACTGAGAAGGGAAAGGACTGAGGGGAATTAAGGTTTTAGAGGAAAGATGGGAGAGCAAAGGAGGGAGCTCCAAGGTGGCAAAGTACCAAGGGGAACGGAATGAAAATAAATGTGAAAGGGTGAAACAAGGCGAAAGTTAGGTTACACGCGGCGTGGGAGAAGGTGACCGACCGCCCATCTGCGCACTCACAACGATACAAATAAGCTAACATCCTAAAAATAGATACACAGTGCACCAGAGATACAAGGGCCAGGCTAGAGGAGGCTTTCTGATGGAGGAGATGAGAGATGGTGGTCCTTTCGCTTCAGCCTTACCTCGTTGGACAAAATGCTTCCGTTGGAGATGATATCGGGTTGCTGGTCGGTATAACCCGTGACGATGGCCCCGCAGGGGTTGTGCTCAGTGTCCGTACTCCGCGAAGGGCTGCAGGGCTTAAGAAACATCAGGTCGGTCTTGGCTGACTCAGGGGTCAGGCAGACCTGGTAGCAGTAATTCTGGTTGTGGTGGTGGGAGCCAAAGCCCCCGGACTCCTCCACGGGCACCTGCGCCGGGTTACTGGGTACATTGGAGCTCTGCACCAGCATGATGTCCGACTTGCTGAGTTTCTTCTTGCGCGCCCGGGCTTGGCGGCCACAGCAGGTCGAACCTCCGCCACCGCAGCAGCAGCAGCAGAGGCAGCAATCACTGGCCAGACAAGTGTAGATGTTGAGCTTCTTCTCTTTTTGGCAACGCACGGCCAGCACAATCATGGCCAGCAGGAAGATGAAGGACACCGAGCCCAGCGCGATGATCAGGATGAGGGTGAGGTCTAGCGAGGTTTCCCCGCCGCCGGAGCGGCTGGGGCGCTGGTGCTCCCCTGACCCTCCGCCTCCGCTCCCGCCTCCGCCCTGAGGCTCCACGGCACCATCCACCAGCTGAACCACCAGGGTGGCGGTAGAGGACAGGGGCGGCTGCCCATGGTCACGCACCTCGATCACCAGCTCATAAGGCCGCTGGGGGTCGCGCTTGGCCGGGACTCGGCGCGCTGTGCGCAGCTCCCCGGTGCGCCAGTCCATGCGAAAGAGGTTCATTTCGTTGCCACGCACGATGCTGTAAGTGAGCCGAGCGTTCTCGCCGTCATCCGCGTCTACCGCGGCGACACGGGTGAGCAGGTAGCCCGGCTCTGCCGAGCGGGGCAGCACCTCACGCGCTGGCGTCCCGTTGCGCCCTGGTAGAGGCGCCACGATGGCAGGGGCGTTGTCATTTTGATCCACTATGAGGATGTTGACAGTGGCGTTTCCCGCCAGCGCCTGGGGACTGCCAGCGTCCCGGGCTTCCACCTGAAAGCTGAAGTCCTTGAGCTGCTCGTAGTCGAAGGAGCGCAGGGCGTACAAGTAGCCGTTCTCAGAGTTGATGGACACGTAGGTGAAGACGCTCATGCCCTGGATCTGGCACTCGAGGATAGAGTAGGCAAGCTGGGCGTTGGCGCCCTCATCGCGGTCGGTGGCGCTCACCGCGTAGATGTAGGCTCCAGGCACGTTGTTCTCAGTCACATACACGTCGTAGACCGGCTGGCTGAAGCGCGGCGCGTTGTCGTTCACATCCGACACTTGCACCTGGATCGACTTACTGGTGGAGAGCGCAGGCTCGCCTCGGTCCCGGGCCACCACGGTCAAGGTGTAGGAGTCCCCCGCCTCTCGGTCCAGGGGGGCTTCGGTAACGATGGTGTAGTAATTCTTAAAGGAAGACTTGAGGCGGAACGGAACATCTCCCAGCAGCTCGCACTGCACCTGCCCGTTCTCCTCTGAGTCGCGGTCGGTCACGCTGAAAAGGGCCACCACAGTGCCGGGCGCCGCGCCCTCGCTCACCGCCTCCTTCACCGTGCTGAAGCTGATTTCTGGCGCGTTGTCGTTAGCATCCAGTACTCGCACTAGCACCTTGCAGTGCGCAGGCACGGCGTTGGGGCCCAAGTCCTTGGCTTGCACGTACACTTGGTACACCGGGCTCTCTTCATAGTCCAACTCGCCGCTTACCTCCAGTCGGCCAGTGCGCGGCGAGAGTCCGAAAAGCTCCCGTGCCCGGGGCGAAATGTGGCTGCTGAAGGAGTACACGACCTCACCGTTCTGGCCCTCGTCCGGGTCCGTGGCATTGAGCTGGATCACGAGAGTGCCTGGGGGCGAGTTCTCTGGTAGGGACACAGTGTAGACGGGTTGGTCGAAAGCGGGCACATTGTCGTTGGAGTCCAGCACTCGGATGGTGAGTAGGGCCGTGCCGGTGCGCTGCTGCTGGGGTGGCAGGCCCGCTCCCCCGCCACCTCCCCCTCCTTCTCCTCCTCCTCCTCCCCCTCCTCCCCCGTCCACCGCGGTCAGCACGTAGCGGTGCACCGCTTGCTGCTCTCGGTCCAGTGGCTTCTCCAGCACCAGCTCAGCGAATCGGTTGCCATCCCCCTGGGTCTGCACGTCCAGGGAGAAGTAGCTGTTGGGGGTGATCTCGTAGTCGCGCAAGGAGTTGGTGCCCACGTCTGGGTCGAATGCGCTCTCCAAGGGGAAGCGAGTGCCTGGCGTGGCGCTCTCAGAGATTTCCACCGTCAGGTCCGGCTCCGGGAAAGAAGGGGGGTTGTCATTAATGTCCAGCACTTCGATCTCCACCTGGAACAGCTCCAGGGGGTTCTCCAGAAAGACCTCCAGGTGCAGGACACAGGAGGGGCTCTGTTTGCAGATTTGCTCGCGGTCTATTTTCTCGTTCACGTACAGCACCCCAGTCTCCAGGTTGAGGTCTAAGTAAGGGGTCCTTGAGTTGGGCACCGTCTGAAACCCGCGAGCCGAAAGTTTTGTAATGTCCAGACCCAAATCTTCAGCGATATTCCCCACGAAAGTGCCATGTTCCTGCTCCTCCTGTACCGTGTAGTGAAGCTGGGAAAAGACTCCTTCCACCATCCAGAGCAAGGCAAAGAATAATAGCACAATCATCTCCAAAAGGAAAGGAAGTAGCTTCCCGCAGCCAGTCAGCCACCCAATCACCTCCCCCACCACTACGAAAAAAAAAAAAAATCTGAAAAATACAAATAAAAGTGCGCTACGTGGGGGCTCCTGTGGCTTTCTGTCTTTAAATATCTTACTCCTTTTGCTTCATTTTAGAGCTTCCCGCAATCCAGCCTCATTTTTTTTAATCTTAGCACAGGAAGGGTGGCAGGCGTCCCCTTTCCTCATCTGTAATCTTTCCACTGACCAATTAATAAAATAATGATAATACAACAGTCAGCGTCCTTTATTCCGACAGTCTTGGCGCAACGCGGCGCTGGCAAATCCCAAAGAGGAAATTTCGATATTTCAAGACTGTCCTCGGTTTGTCTTCTTGCTGATGGGAGGAGAATGAGGAGGAGGAAAAAGAGGAGTAGGAGGAGGAAGAAGAAGAAGAGGAAGAGGAGAAGGAAAAGGAGATGCTGTTGGCACCGTTAAACATGCCTCTTAATGTCAACGGCTGGCAAACGCAAAAGGGCTTAAAATCAGCGAGAGAATTTTGTGCCGGAAAAGCACAGAAAGGCTCTGCAGCTTAAAACTTTCATTCTCTTCATTTCTCCGGATGGATGTTCTTCTTGACATTTTTTTCCTCTTTCGCTCTATATGTATTTTTTGTCTTTCATCGTCTTGGCCCCCTCTGTTCTCATCTCCACCGTTACTCGCCTCTCTGCAAGTGTATTGAGCAGTTTCTTTTCTGCTGTTTCCTTCCCAAGCCTCTTTCCCTCTAACCTGTCTCTTTTTCCTTCCAGTCCTTCCTTCCTCCTGCTTCAGCCTCTGAGCCTGTGGTCTGGGCTGGCAGTTTCTGAGCTCCGAGCGCTCGGCTTCTCTGTTTTTGCGCAGCGCCCTCATTCTGCCAACAAATAGCAGAGGAGCACCACCCACCGGGCTACCGGTGATTGGCCAAGCCGGCCGTCAAACAGAACGTCACGCGGCAGCCGGGAGGGGCGGGACAGAACTCTCGCCCGGGCGGCCGGGGTGAGTGTGAGTGTGAGAGCGAGAACAGCCCCGCAGGTCCCGAGGCGCTGACTGGGGACACTGCCGCGGAAAGTTCCCAGTCCCCAGTCGCAGGTAATGGGGAGGGAATAGAGAGGTTCCCCTGTTTGCATCAGCAAATGTGAAAACATAATAGCAACAGCTGCGGTATCCTCTCTGAGGAGCGGGATTTCCAATGATGCTAACATTTTTTTTTCCTTTAAGGTATTTTCCCTAAAACAGATCATGGAAATAAATCATCGAGAAGGGGAAAAAGTAGAGCAGGGGCCACTAATTGGCAAGGGTTACCTAATTAAGAGATCCTAACAGACTCGCAGGGCATTTAAAAAGTAGGTATTATACGGCATGTGTCAATCTAAGCGTGAGGGGTCTGAAGTGGCCGTGTGGAAAGCGGAGAAGCAGTCGGAGTAGGGGGGTGGAGGTGGGTCCTAAAAAGCGGAGGAATTCACGCTATAGGGTGTGGGATGACAGCGCTTATAGACGTGCAAACCCGTTCGACGCGCCTCTTTCCTCCCTAAATATATATTCACAAAATACCTTACCAAATAGATTAACTCACTTGAGGACCTAGCTTTGACCTGTGAACGCGTTCATCAGTGATGAGGAGTTTGCTTTGAGCCGCTTCCTTCGAGCCCGCCATCCTAACGCTGGGCTCTCGGGCACCCGGCACTCAGCACCGCCAGGCGCTGCAAAGAGTCTCTGATATCCCTGCGCCTTGTGCAGTCAAGTGCCACGCAGCGGCTGGGAACACCGGCTATTTTCTAATTTTTTTTTTTTTTTTTTCAATTGGAGATCGAACCCTCTTCCCCACCAGGCTAGACTAGACCACTAGACCACTGATTTCTGCGGAGCCTGGGGTCAGCCCGCTGGATGAGGACAGTGGGGCGGCGGCGAACACGGGAGGGGTGGTGGGCAGGAGCCGTGCATACGCGGGACCCAAGTGTGCACCGCTGCGGGTATCTGCGAACACGTTTGCACATGCACGGTACTTGCATCCATCCTCTCTGGCCCAGAGCTCAGCTCTGTTTAAGCCCCCACGGAGCCTCCCTGAGTTCTGAAGAACGCGCTTGACCAGCTGTGAGTGCCTATTCCGGAGGCACAGGGGCAACGCGACACATCCACACAGCTAGTTCTTGTGAAGTTAAAACAGCGCGAACTCCTTAATGCTGGAGAGTGGATAGAATGCCAATTCTCAAAAAAAAGATATAGAAATATATATATTTTAATTAACGGGCTACTAGCAAGGAATTTTGTTTATTCACTACAGAAGCCCCCTATTCAATCTTCTTCTTATGCAAAGAGATAGGAAGGTCCTTTGCTGCTTTCTGATAATGAATGATCCGAGAATACCACCACCACAACCTGCGGGAGAAGTAGAGTCCTTTTCCCGACCCAGAGGTACATTGCCATTCCCTTCTGGCAGGGAATTGAGGAGGGCAAGTGTCCATGGGCGTGATTGTAGCCGGAGACATGCTTCTGAGAGTCCCGCGAATGCACGTCTACTGCCCTGCTTTCTGCGCTTCCCCCCGGGGCCAACGACCCGTCCCCCTGGTCCCCGCACTTGGCTCTTTCATGAAGATGGGTCCTGCCTTTGAGCTCTTAGAAGGAAAGGATGGCAGCAAAAATGGCTAATCCTTTACCAGCTGCAGTAAATTGAAGACTGGCCAAAGCCAAGCGAAAACCGCTGCAGTTAAAATGATTTTAGCATCACGTCTGCGGCTGAGAATGGAGCGGCAGTGTATAAAGGGACCTGTGGATCAATGAAAAGGAGATTATAGTGTATCTGAATATTAATACGGTATTGCATCTGTACTTCCCACCCCACCCCCTCCCCCTTTCTTTTTCTTCAGATCTGCAGGAAATGAAATGTTTTGAGGTCTTCAAGCTGACTCGTCAGAATCCTGGAGCCTTTAAAAAAATAACGGTAATTTTCTAATGTGTTCATTTGTGAGCATGGAAACACTTGTGTGTGTGCGCGCGAATGCGCGCGTGTTTGCATGTGAGAGACGTGCAGCTGAATGACAACGCAGATCCAGTAACTGGGTAAGAGGGTTTCTGTCCCCGAAATGTAGAAGTTTGAGCTGACTTGGGTCGTATGCTGAAAGCCAGAGTGCTTCCAGAGGTGGAGATGAAAACATGGAGAGATGGCCAGATTTGCCTGTAAATAATCACTACATCCACTGTAGCACTTGAGCTTGAGCTGCTTTTTTTTTTTTTTTTTTTTTTTTTTTGGTGGCAGATGTGTTTGAATGGAACTCTTTCCGCAAACGTGGGTTACAGGCGTCTCCTAGCGGCGAAATCAGCATAGGGCAGGCTAGAGAATTTTGCTTTGGAGCCCTTGTTGGTCAGAGCTCGCCTTTTGGGGGCTCTACGGGATTTCTTGGGTCGCAAGGGTCTGTGTCTGCACCAGCATCGCTGAGCCCAGACCCCCTAGAGGTCTCGCCTCTCCGACTTGTAGTCTCGGTGGCGCCAGCCAAGGACCGGCGGGGTGACGGTGGGGTCTTCTTCCCGGCAGAACAGAACAGAGCCTCGTCCTCCGCCTCCCGTTAGATAGCTCCAGCCAAGGGCAATTCCAAGAGCATTTTGTTTGGAGCCAAGATCAAATATTGACATTAATAGCGTTCTGTGTCTCCTTCCCTAGAGCCATTAAAACAACCACACCCCGTCACCCAGAAAACAAAACAACACTTAAAATTTTCCTTTTAAAATGCCTCTTAAATGTAACAGGTTTACTTTTTCCTTTGCTGTGTCAATCAAACAGATCCCTGCATTTTTCTTTTTCGTTCTTACTACCGTGGACCCCAGAATTTAGTGAGGTGATGCTTACATATACGGCAGCCTCAGTAATGAGGCTGACTACCTCTTTAAAGTGTCATGTACATTCTGTGTTCTTGAATCCCCCCATTACTGGAGCGGAAAAGGAGGAGGAAATCTAGTGAACATAATAACCCTCCCTTCTTCACCCTCCCCTGTCTACCCTCCAAGAGTTACAAACTGTTTGAGCCAGGACAAAGGGCACCCTAAGAAGCAGAGGAAAAGCAGTTTTATTATTTTGAGGGAAGTTATCAAAATCAATTTTCATAAAAGTCCTGGTTTATATATTACAATGATAGTGCATATTTTTTATTTCATTGGGCTTTAAGTGCAGCAGAAATAGGGGGGCGCTAAGGATCCCACAAGTGTGTTTTACAAACTTTGAAACTGGGTTAAGGGGTTGCTTTCTTTTCTGCCCTTTGCTGCAAAGGGTGGGGCAGAAACAAGTTTGTTATCCAGCCTTTGGATAAATGAGTGTTTGCAATGATTTAACATGACTCGAAAGCAATTTGTTTCTAAATCCTCTTATTATTGCTGCGTGCCTAGAGCTTTGAGGGAAGTTTTTTTTCTTTTTTCTTTTTTTTAGAATTGGAAAAAAAAATTAATTCATCAATAACCAGGCTCCACCAGGATTGAACTAGATGCTTGTTCCTGGCACTTGTCATTCCCAGCAATCACAGCCCCTAGAGCAAATACAAAAGGCCCAAATTGCGTTGCATCTTTTATGGGTAAGCATGAAATAGGTTTATTTGTGGTAGTGTAACCTAACTTAAGAGATGGGAAGGCAAGGCTTTAGAGCCAAAGCCACAGATGTTGTGTTAGTTTTTGTTCATCTATAGTAAAAAGTGAATGTTGACTAAAATTTCTGGGAAAGATTCATAGCATATGTTATTTTAAGTATTTAGGTAACTCTTTAGTTACCGTGTTTTAATCCTTCAAACCCATCAGAGAACAACCCAATCCTTGTTCTTGGGTCTGAAAATACTGGATATGCCATCAAGCACCATTATCTTGATATTTAAAGTGGAAATGTGCTTCTCCATTTTCTTTAACCTAGTTAATATTGCTGTGGCTTCACATTTCAGTGCCTTTTCAGTTATCCAACAGGGCCAGCATTTTGTTAAACTCTAAACAGTGAATTAAAAGCACTGAATGAGCTGAAGCCACCCTCTAATGCAAAATGACAAATTGCACTTAAGCAATACATGAACAAAAAATGATTTATGGATTTTTACAATGGTCTGAGCAAATGAAAGCAACATGAATTATACATCCTAATGCTCACAATATCATTTTCTAATAATAATGTTTCAGTTCAGATACTATACTCTGCTTCTTTCTATAAGAGAAATTGATCAATAAGAGGTCCGGGAATGTTTTTAAATTGGGCACTGGTTTGTGATGCTGATTCCAAGTGTGTGTGTGTGTGTGTGTGTGTGTGTGTGTGTGTGTGTTTACCTATACATATATATGCAAATATTTTCTTTGGGCTTTTGGGGAGGTGGGTTGATGAGAAACATTGAACATGCGTTCTTGTCAGATTCTTCACATATTGTGTCTTTTGATAGTAAATAGTCCTTTGCAAACTTTTGTTTGTTCCATACCATCATTCAGAATGCAAATAAATAGATCTCATTCAGAATGACAGTCTTTATTGCCTCATGAATTCTTTTTCTAAAAATCAAAATGCATTACCTCTTCTTAGCCTTTTCTTCCATTGCTTTGGATATTAAAAAACCTTATTTCTCCAAAATGTCTCTTAGCCTCTTCATATTTGTTTTATCCTATCTTTTTCAGATAAAAAAATGTTTTTTTCTTTACAGCATTAGAAACATACCTGGGCTAGCAAAAAGGTCAGGCGCCTTAGTTTTCTAGCCTTAGTAGACAAAATATACCCTAGGGGTTGTCTTAAATTACAGAAAAAAATCAATTAAATAAAATTTTATGTGCTGTTTGTGTTTTGAGTCTGAAAAACACAAAAATCTAGTTTCCTTTGTGTTATGATTATTGACGATGCCTAACATTTTTATTTAACCATTTGTGGTTTGTATAAGTGGCTATTTTTTGGGAAGTATGTTGAATTTTAAGTGAAGGTGGTGTCTGTGCTGTGTTGCATCCTCAACCACAGGAAACTTCTAATCACCCAGAGGCCTCTAAAGTCACATTATTAGGTTTAATCTTAATTATCCAAGTTTATTAAAAAAAAAGAACAGAGAAAACGTCATTGAATCCCTGTTTCTGCTTTTTACAGTATTAATAACTACTTTTACTGAAATCAATGATGTGATTAGGATTGTAAATAAGAACTATAAGATATCATATTTAAAAACCCAGCTGATTTGCCTAATGGGGAGATGTGTGGGTTTTACCGATGTGGTCCAGAGGCAGAAAAATGAAGCTTCAAATATGGAGGTCAACATATAACAATTTCAAAAATTAATTGTGAGTCCCAATTGAGTTTATATGACTAAGAGAGAAGTTGTCAAGGAAGAATTCTTTTTTTTCTTACCCAATAGTTTTACTTCTTATTTGATAGTGATACAAAACCAGAATGTATTACTGTTTGTCTGGGAAGTGTAAACGATTGTCTTAAAAGGAAACCCCTTGATTTTTAAAATACACAATAAGATTCCTCAAATTGTGAATAGGGTTGCAAATCATAAAGCTATATTCAGAAGAGTTTTAAAGCATTATTGGGGAAATACCTTATCAAAAGAATATAACACACAGCTTGAGAATTACATGAATAATTAGAATTACATTAGAATTAACAGTAAATCAGAACAAACAGTAAAAGAGATAATTCAATGAAAAAAAAGTATTTCTCTCAGTTTCCCTATGTGGTTAGTATAACTGTATAAGAAACTTTATTTCCATGACATGTTATTTAAATGGACTTAGCAAATGCTGTACTTTATTGTTCTATTTTATTGCAATTTCATCTATTCTTTTTAGGTGAAAGTTACAAATGGTTTTTAAACAGATTAATCTGTACCTAGAATTGTTACATAAGTTATATTTGATATTCCCCATCTATATAAGTTTCATTATCCCGACATTATAATTAAGGCTAATAAGATGCTCAGAATTTTAAGTAACTCACCAGATTATTACAGAATTCAAATCCAGATCTTTTGCTGCTTATACAGGCTCATTTTATTACCCATGGGCTTTCTTCAGTCTATCTGAATTGAATTTACTTAGGAGGTAAAACAAACAAAAAATTCAAATTAACTTAGAAGTGGAGTTAATCAAGATTTTGGACAGACAGAAATGCTGATTTTATCCTAGTCAAATTGGCTAGTACAACATTGACTTGGGTGATGGAGGAATCCATAAACATGTTTGAGGGTTTTCTTTTTTTTAAGACTTTTTATCAGTGAAACAAAGCTTGAATATATTTTCTTACAAGAGAGTGATATTATAAGCAGCTATCTCTTTCTTGTGCAGAAGTGCCCAACGTGGAAATTATAGATTTTAACGAAGGAACAAGAAAACTGATGAAACAAGTTCAAAAGAAAGGTACCTGTGCTTCATTCATTCCTAAAGAACACTGATCAATGATCCCAGAAGTATGCCATGTTCTCTTAACTCATCAGAGATTGAAAGCAAAGGAAAATCAAGAAATGTACCCAGTTTACATGGTGCAGATATTGGTGTTTATTTAGTACACATTTCTGAATCCATCTTTAAAAGGGGATATGTGTTTCGTTAAATGAATTTCAAGTATCACTTCATGCTAATTTCTTCTTCAGTGTTGCTTTAAAATGGTTTTAATTATACATTTTTCAAAATTAAACAATTAAATTTATTCCTGCCAGGAGAAAAATGGATAAGAACTTAAAAGTATCTTCAAATTTCTAAAGACATAATCAAACAAAGATGATTGTGGCAGCATATTTACTACTGTAAGTAGAATTTGTATTAATATTTTGGTCTAAGAACTGACAGAAGAAAAAATATTATGTTTATTTTACAAGTATAATCAGTGGTAATTCAGAGTATATGTAATGTGGACTCTATAGGTTAGGTTGTACATCTCCTTTACTCATTTCTGAAGATACCCAACTATGACAGGAGATGATACTGTAAATTTGTGAAGAACATAGCCTTGAGAATGAAACCAAATTTGGGTTCATATTCTTGCTTCTCAAAATATTTGAACTTGGCCAAATAACTTTGAAGCCCTATTAAGTGTGTCAAACATTTGAAACATTTATTACACTATGATGGTACATTGACCTTGTTATTTTGAGGCTTCAACTGAAATGATATATAGGTAAAATTCTTATTCTATAGTTGATTCTCAGTAAATGTTAACTATGTGTATGGTAAGATGTTTTGGATGAGGTAGTCTGTAAATAGATACTTGTTGAAAAATTTTCTTGGGGGTTTTATTTCCTTAATCAAATATGTATTATTTACTAAGCAGGTACCAAAAATTTACCATGTCCGTATTTTGAAGGATTTTGAAAAATAGATGCAAATGATAAATGAAGAAGACAACTAATTAAATTTTAGTTAAGCTTCAAAAACGTAAAAGTCAACTATAAGCTTTTTCCATAATCATATAGCAATTTTATTTGCTTTCTTTTAGATAAACTTATATTTTCTGTAAGTTAAAATTTATATAATAAAACTAATAGGCATATATATTAGAAAAAGTATTTTGATAACCAGATAGCTCATTTATTTTAAAAGTTATCTTATTTAAATATTTGTCAAAGTTTTATGATTAAAGGGCTCTAATTTGATAGTCATTTAGTTTTTTTCCAATTCTTTAGTGCAACATATTAATACCTTCTACTCTATTCATGCCAATGAGTGCTAAAATTCTGAAAATTAAAAACAGATTGGTAAAAAATAAACCTCCTAAAATAGAATGAATTCATTAGAATATTCAATTCTAAGCCTTAAGCCTCAATTGTATTTGAACTTTCTTTTGAGCGTTTGCCTCCATGCTATTTTCTGCCTGTGATAGCTTTTATTAACATTTTCTTTAGCAATTATTACAGTTTGAGAAGTAAAAACTCTCAAAAACACGCATTGGTGCTGCATTGGAGCCCAGCCATAGGAATAGTGAGAGAATGGAAAATAAATGTAAATTATGATACATGTTTCTCAAGGATTTTATAATCCTTGATTTTGCAATCAATTTGATAAAGGAGTGTGTGTGTGTGTGTGTGTGTGTGTGTGTGTGTGTGTGTGTATGTTTAAATAACTTCCTTAACAGTATGAAAAATATTAAAACATATAATGCCTACGAGTGCTAAAGGCTTGGAGGAAAAAGAAAACACCTGAATAAAATAAATTAAGCAAAGATTTCTATAGAAGGACAGCTTTTATGATTTTAAGGGCAACAGTGGGTCAGATGGGTAGAAAGAAATATCGGGAGAGGGTTAGAGAGATTTGAACAGTAAAGAAATGAAGGCAGGGATGGTAAAACACTTTTCTATAAAGATCGTAGAAACAGCAAATGAATGTTTTAAATTATGGGCCAATATGCTGAATTTGGACCTAGTTGCTTAAATGTATAATTCCACCAGTCCTCAATTTTGTTTCACTTGATTTATGTTTTCCCCATCTCCACCAGAAACTTGGCCAATTTGATGTCAATAGAAATGCATGAGATCCTTATTCAGCATTCACACCTGAGAAATGCTTTTGGTATGTCTTGGGCTAGTAGCCAGTGTTCAGTCTCAGAATTATGATAAAGCCTAATATTATTGCTTGTTCATTAGCATATATATTTGAGAACCTTGGCTGCTGGTTTAATTTAATGGTAAAGTGCTGATTGCTGATTTTCTCAAAACTTCTTTTTTTTAACCACACCTAGTCAGACTACCTAACCAAGTATCTAATTTAACAATAACATATTTACATTTTGCTGGACAATACAAGTGGTAAAAGTATTGCTTAAGCCCAAGGAACCTGATAATCATTCAGTTTTTCACAGTTTTGGATGGATTTGTTGGCTGTATAACTAGTACTTAATGAAGTTGTGCTGACTGGATGAATGAATGCTTGACTTTTTAACTTTCTGTTTTAAATTTTAAAATATATTTCTAAGATATTGTACTCAATATTACAAGCTATGTTTTTAATAATCTGTATTTGTAACAAGTCTTTTAAAATTAGTTATTTTTAGAAAACTTACCTAAAATGAAAAATTTACCATACCTAATCACAAGTCTGTTACAATGCTTGATGTCTCCCAATTAACACAGTGCATTTATCCAAACTACTGCTATTCAAAAGTCATATATCTTCTTATAATTTTCTTTTGTATTTGGATTTTCTTTTCATTTCATAATACTATATTGAATATATAAATATGTATAGAGTAAGTACAATGGCCCGTATTCCGAATTGTTTTGTTCATTTTATAAAGTCATGATGTCATACTAATAGGAAACCCCTGAGATGAGAATGTTAGATGTTAAGAGAAGATATGGCTTAGACAGAAAAACATTTGCTGCCCTAGGTAGAATCGGAAGGTACTTTAATTTCAAAGCATGTTGCAGGGCTAAGTTAAAAAGAAAGGTTTATTGACCTGTTAGATTCAAAACAATGTCTTGATTTTCAAGCCAGGGGGGACACTTCTAGTTTCTCTGCTCTTCAACCTCCTGAAATGAAGATATTTCAATGCAAATATGTTATGTTGGTCTCCATAATATACATATTTTTTCTTCTCTTGGGTTGATGGCTAGCCCCAGTCTTCTTTATTTCATAACTGACACGCTCATATTGTTTGTCATTTAGATATTATGGAGTTTATAAATACTTAACTCTGTATTTTGGCCAGCTAATAAAGCAGAGGTTGGTTGTCCAGAATGCAAGAATTTAAGTGGAAATGTAAAACACATGCACGTGAACACTTGTGTACACACGTGAGGGAAAAATGGCAATTGTAGTTAAACCTTTGTTTTTGTCATAATAAAGTAGAAACAGATCTGTGAAACAGACATGATCACACTAAATCAGATGACAGGACACATGGAGTATACATGGATTAAAATGGAGAATTTTCACAACTGTTGTGAAAAGGAAAGTTTAGTTTTTTCATTTTATACAATGTACGAATATGAATTCCAGATGGGTTTAAGCATTCACTAAAAGTATAAAACTATGGGATAACTAAACCTATAGAGTACTGAATATTTATGTCACTCAGATATGTGTTTTAAAACCGGGCTTAACATTGTACCTTTCAGGTCTACTCCCCAAGGCAAAAACAAACAACAACAACAAAAACCAGAAGTTTCTGAAGGACAGCAGAAATGGGAAGTTCTTTCCATGATGCAAGGCAATCAATGGAAAGTGACCTTCTTTTGTGAGCTACACCTAGGTAGCCCCAGTCATGTGAAATCACTGATGGTAGCAACGGATAAAGATGCTGGAAGGGGAAACTGAGGCTTGAAAATATATATACTTTCAGGGTGGACTTTGGACATGCTGTTATTAAAATGTAAGTCTCTTGACATTGGAGTAGGAAGAGTGGGTAAGTAGGATTGTTAGGCTTTTAAAATATTCCTCATTAAGAGGATTTTTTAAAAACCCAAGTTTTGGTGTTAAAATTTAAGACACTCAGGAAGGCGGCTTATTTCAGTTGGAAAGATATTAAATAGTAAGCTGATTTTCAGGGCCCAAGTAGACAGTATTTTTTGGAATCCTGAGGTCTGTTATTTCTAACATGCACATATAGCACTGACAAATTCAGTCCAGATTGAAAATAAGTCACTGATGTTTTTGGTAGTTATTTATTTCTTATTGCAATTCACATTGAAATTTTCCTAAAGGTTTTTTTATGTCTTTATTTGTTTTGGTATATTGGTTCTTAGCTGATTAATTATACTTTTTCCTAGAATTAAAATAAGATTATGTTTATCTTAGAAAGGCAAAGAATGAGTAAATATTTAACCCAGAACACATGATTTGTTTATTTTAAAAGTCTATTGATCTTTATCATTATTCTTTTTAACAACATATCAGAAGTAGGCTAGGCTGAGATGGAAAAATTCATTTATAATTTTAAAACAAATGCTTCTCTAAGTAAAAATATTTTTTTTCTTTTTCAAATTAGTAGTTTGTGTTTAGCTGGCATTCTCATAATTGATAGAGTGTTTTTATGTTTAAAATAAGGGTATGCTTGGGAGCCTAAGATCTGATTGATTATTAAGTTAGGGACTATAACAATAACTCCTAATTATTTCTCTGTTTCAAAATCAGATCTGTTGTATGCAAAGAAGAATTTTACATGGTAAAAGCATAAATGTAATACATCTTAAGCTTTTATTTAATTTTTAAAATTAATTAAAAAGATAAATGCCATGATATCTAAGGATTTCTATTTAATATGGTGCTTTTGTCTTAAATTGTTGATGTTCACACTGTCCTTGCAGAATTTCATTGCATTCAGGAATATTTGTGAATGTTCTTCTATCTAAGAAGGTGTTATATTTCAGCGAATTATAGGTGGCAGTATACACAGCTAAATTCCGTGTGTTACTGCAGGTCGATAGAAGATTTTCCAATCGTTTAACAATTTTATATTTATGCTTATTGTCATTCTATCCCCATTTGTTAACCACCTCCTGTTTTTGGTGTTAATGTAAGAACACCAAATAAACTTCCTCTGATGAGAGAATGCTCGTGAGAAGTATTTTGAATCTCAAGTTTATTCTGAATATTAGTTAAGATTCATTTTAAAAATTTGCTAAATAAGGATACATTAGAAAGTGTATAATACTCATTGACCACTTGATTTAATATTAAAATGAGAATTTAAAACTAAATTAACTCTTAGAATTACATATCAAGCCAATGACAGAGAATTTTTTATTCTGTCTCTTTTATTTTCTGTTTTAAAAGTTACAAGCAAATATGCTTTGACTGCTAAGTTGTGAAAATGCAATACTTTTCTGACTTATTACCCTGAAGTATGATATCTATCTTTGAGAAAGTTAAGTACAAAATTGCTGTTCTTTATGTCTGATATATACCCTGAAAGTATTATATTCACAAGAATGATAAGAAAATTATATATGGTATGAAGAAAGAGAATAAATCTTAAATTGATGATCAATAGCTATACTGTGGCATCTCATAGAGAATAAAAATGTTCAGAATTAGAGCAGTCTATCAACTTCTTTCCTTCCAGAAACTTTTGCAAAATGTATCTAAAGGTTTTAATGACAATTATTAAGGGACATATGGGGTGGTAGGAATTAGAGTCAGAGAGGTAAACAGGTCAAACTCTGGTGCCCTGCATGCTTTTCCTGTTGCTTTGTTTTACATATTGAACCTTGTAACATGTGACACCCCTTTTCATTTTAAACTGAAATCATTTTATCTAATGAAAATTTCTCATGTATAGAGGAGGAAATTGAGAATGTGATAGTCTCAGTACAGGGCTGACATTACAGAATACAACCTCTGATAAGTAAACATTACTTCATCTTTATTTGTTTTTACTTTCTTTTTTTCTTCCTTTTTGAGACAGGTCTTACTCACTGTAGGCTCAAACTCCCTAGGCTCAAGCAATCCTCCCACCTCAGCCTCCCAAGTAGCTCGCACTATAGGAGCACAACACCATGCCCCCCTAATTTTAATATCATTATTTTTAGTAGAGACGAGGTCTGTTTATGTTACCCAGGCTGGTCTCTAAATCCTTAGCTGAAGAGATCTTCCCACTTCAGCCTTCCAAAGTGCTGGGATTACAGGCATGAGCTGCCACATCTGGCCTATTTGTGTTTTCTTGGCTGTGGGATTTTTATTTGTTTTATTTGTATGTTCCTTCCCTTACCATAATTTGTTTATTCATTTTAATATAGTCAATTACTATTAGTTCTTGACTCATAACCAATTTGTAATTTTTCAGTAGGTATTCTTATTTGCATATGCTCACAATCATGCTGGCTGATTGTTTTGCACCATTTAACACAAGCAGATATAGCAAGATTATTTATTCTCATATGAAATAAGCAGATTAAAATAAATCCAGATTGAAACTATTTCTTCATATTATTTCCATGTTCTTTTTCAAAGTCCTACAGATAGAGTCTCAAAACTTGTATGTTTCTTAAGTACCTTTCAATGAATTTTTATTGCTTTTTGATAAGATATAGTTCTTCAGCATTTGAAAGTCTGAACACGCCAGCATTTGGTGCTAAAAATAGGAATACATCTATAGAAACCCGAGGAGATTTTGGTTAACTGTATTGAACTAAGTTCATTTTAAAAAGTGAAGCCATGAAAATCTGCTAAAATGGGAGACCAACCGAAGAGTCTCTTTTGGGTTGGAGACATGCAATGGGTCTCAGGTTTCATCTTCCCTTTTAGAATAATTTCCTCGCCTTGTTAGCCCCTGAGTCAGATAGTAGTGTATTGAGAATGAGCAACTTTTCGCCTGAAACTAATACTAGACCTAAAACTACCACATTCCCGTAATGTATGTCTCTCTTAGTAGTATTGTTGAAATTTCAATACTTTCCATTACTCTTGCCTAGGTTAAATTAAGATAATAAAATAAACATCTTCAAGATATGGATGTTGCCATATATCTGACTTATTTTGCATATTTAGCTAAGACCTAGGAAAAATCCTTTATATAGATTGTGCCTACATGGACTTATATGATCATCTAGATATTCGAAACTTTAAATTTGTGAACTCACATTTACATAATATAGAGCCTTCCAGAAATTAATAACTTGTAATGCTCTATGTAATTTCACTTTGAAATGAAAAATGGCAAGAAATTTTGATTACTTGCTTAATTCATTTATTCATTCAACAAATATATATTGAGCATCTGTATATGCCAAGATGCTTGGACACATTAGTGAAGATGGTTCTTGTCTTCATTTGTGTGTGTGTATAGGCAAACAATATTAAATAAGTATATTAAATGAATAAATCATCTAGAATACTAAGACATTAAAAGTGCCATAGAAAACAGAAAAAGCAGAGCAAGTTAAAGGAATCTCTTAACTGAAAATTAAGTACTTGTTTCCTATGAAATTTGTGGAGGTTATAGAATACAGATATTTGGTTGAATGGGATATTAAGTGAATATGGTTGTTAAGCCATGAGAAGAGAAAACCCAAAAACAGAAATTTGGTTGTTCTTTTTTAAGGTTTCCTTCAGGAGTTGATTTAAAGCTGATTTCTCACTAGCCACCAAATTGAATGTTTACCCACTAGTTAATTTGCCCCAAACATTAAATTAGTGGCAGAAGCACTGAAATAACTTGTCATTCTAATGGCAAGATGGCTTTTAAAGAGATGTAGAATAAGTTTCCATTTTTTGATAGTTGTCTTTTTTGCAGAAATATGAGGTAGTATTTTAAAAAAATGTTAGTGGAGATAAAACACTGGTTCAGGATGTTGCGGACCCAGCAGGAACCCTTGGAGGAATTTCTTGTTTACCTTAATAAAACCATTATCATTCATGGGGAGTAGCTAACAGTAAAATACAAGCAAGGAAATAAAAAGCAAAGAAATATCTAGTTTCTGTTATTTGAACAACTACATTTCACATAGAAACTGATGAGAGTGTCAAAATTGACCACTCTGACTGTGTGCCTCCTTTGATTGGCCTTTGCAAAAATTTGATTCTGATTTGTAGTCAAGAAGTAATGAAAATGCTTAAAGATGCTGAAAGTCAATATAATGGGCACTTTTAGAATGTACCATGTGTTCAGGTGTGCTTCCAATATACATTTTATAAGATTTCTCTCAGTTCATTCAGTTATATTATTAGATGTGCTCTAGTTATAGAAAATGTTATTTCCTCTGCATGCAAAATCTGTAGTTACAAAATGCTCACTTCTTGTAGTTCTCAGGAAGATTTTGTCCTGCTGAAGTTTCATAGTTTTATTCTACCAGTGTATCTATCACCCAAAGTTACTTATTTATTTGCTTACTGTCTTCATGTACTTACTTATTTTAGAAAAACATGAAATAAATACTTTATAGGTTGGAACTTTGTGCTAGGTGCTTACAAGTACTAATCCGGATAAAAATATTCTCATATGAAAAGTGGCAAGATGATAAGGCCACTGTGAGTACCCAATTTTTAAATCACCATTTAGTTATTTCTTGGTCACATATGTATGTAGACTAGAAAATAAGGGATTCATCACAGGATAAAGGTGGCAATATCATTAGACATGATAATATCAGAGAATTAGAAACCTCCAAGTTCTACATATGGGATGTTCATAATGATAACAGTCCATAAGAAAAAGTTAAATGTTGTCACCCACATGCCTTTTAATAAGGCAGAGATATTTTTAATCCATTTCAGAAAGATTTCTATTAAATGATCCATATTTATATACAGAAAATTACAAATCACATTAATGAAAGTGATTACAGTAGGTGAAAAGTCCTTGATTATTTATTTTAAAAGTGCTTTGATGAATAAAATTCTTTTGTATGTATTATCTATTTTTAGATTTTGGTGGATACATTAAATCGTTACAGATTGTATTCAATCTGTTTTTTAAAAACTGCTCCATATATATTTAACATACTGATTTGCCGTGTCTCATTAGCTGCAAACCTGTTTCTTAATGAATTTCCTATTATTTATAGGCTTACAATTCAATGAATTAATATATTTACAATTATAATATCTTAAAAATCTTTTCAATCCCATTTAAACCATTCTTCCTTCTGTATAAATGAACTCCATTTTAGGGGAAGACATATGGAATTATACAAATTTACCTGTAAATGTGTTTCTAACTTAATTTCATCACATAAAGTTGAAACTATATGTCTTAGTTTCTGTAGATTGTTAAATTTATATAATATTTTTCTGGGAGAAATGAGAGTAATTAAGAGGCACAATGTTACCTATTTAATTAGCCTATTTGTATCCTCAGAAGAATCCTTAGTTGTGAAAAGTATGAGGGAGCTTGCCCTTAGTTAATTGAATCAGAGGGTTTTTAAAGTCATTTACATTTCTCCCTACTCATTTGGTTTAGTTTTGTTCACTCTAAAATGACTCACCAAAAGATTCCAGACCATAAACTTTTGTCTAAGTAATATTTTGTTGAAACTTGTGTAAATCTGTGGTCAAATACAGGGCCAGTTTCAGCCCTTCTTTGTTACCAGAAAGGCACTGAATATATTTTTACAATAGATACATATTCAAACATAAAAATATATCACCTAGATCTTTAAGGGATTTAATGTGTTGACACCCACTGAACATTTCAAAATGCAATTTGAGAGCTACTTTATTTTTCCTGTGGATTTTGCTAAACCACAGGTACAGAGAGCTTAGTTTATATATGGATCCTCCCTTCTCCAGATAATCGTATTTTCTAGATAAACTTTACCTATTTTACTTTAATAATTCTTTGAAAGGTAAGTCCCAGCTTAGAAATTAGTGAATGAAAGGTATCATGCTTTTAATTACTTTTAAAAAGAACCCAGTGCATCTCCTTCGAAAACTCTAAATTAGATTAGATTTTGAGGGAGAAACAAAAGCAGAGGGGAGTTGCCAGTGAAGTGTTTTGAAGCCAGATATTAAGTTACAAATCCTTTTATGGAATAAAGGAAACTAAGAAAAACAGCAGCTGCTATTTCAGCTCAATAACTCCAGTACCTCCTAGTGAAATCATTTTAAGACTGCTGAATAGAAATAGTTTAAAGGTCTATTGTAAAAGAAACAAGAATTTTATTCATTAATTAGACTCGTCAGAGACTGCTTTGAATTTGCAAAACTGAATAACCTTTTATTCCATGGTTATAGTTAAATCCTTAAGCTCATTTGATTTCCTATGTCCCATTTGATTTCACTTTAAGATTTCACCTTCACAAATGCATTATAGTCCAATCCCTTAATGTTTCCATTGCCCTCTCACTTTAGTAAAAAGGCAACAGACTAACTCTTCATAAAATTAACATGGATGGTGGAAATAAAAATTGCAGAAATGAAGTCTCCTGATAATGCACAAGTAATAGAATGGGGAACATTTTTGTTTATGTGTTTTCTCAACTTCGGATAGCTAATGGAGACTTTTCTTTTTTAAAAAAATTTTAATAGTGACATTTTTATGCTGTAAAATATTAAACTTGCACAGAGATTCTTTCAGTTTTGTTACTTTTCAGTTGAGATTTATTCAAATGCAGAATTCATGCCAGTATTTTGGATTTTGCTGTCTAGTAGGTATGATACATTAATTTATACTTCATTAATTTAGAATTTCTGAAAATTTGAGTCCAGAATGAATGACAGTGAAAAACAGGGTATGCTAAACAAATAGTGGAAAAAGTATATATACTCAGTATGTATATACTAATGAAAGTATACATTTTTAGAAATCAGCAGGTTTCAAAATTTTAAGAATAATTGAAGATGTTCAAAGCATTATGTTTCAATAACTTTATGTCATGGTTACAACTTACTAATTATGTCATTTATAATTATCTTCCAAGGAAATATTTGGTTGTTCTAGAGCTTAACATATTTCACATTATTATGGTTTCTTAAAAATACTTTAAAAAATGTTTTCAATGTAATAAATTAGAATTTTACAGTACAATGAACAAACAGAGATCTATTGCTCCAATCTCCCTATCCAAGATACCCAATCACCAGGAGCAAGAACTGTAAACCTTTAAGCGGTTTCTACCAGTATTTGTGTCTAAATCGTATTCTGATATTTCTGTTTCTTGATTTTCCACTTTAGACTATCTGTTTCTATTAATGTCCCACAGTGAAATTTCTTTTAACTATCAGCTCATACATATAAAAACATGCTTCATCTCTCTCCATTATCCTAAAAGAGTTTTATTATAATTTTTGGTTAAAATATTATTCAATGTTTCTATTATTATGAGTATATAAATTTGCTTTTATCTGAGCTTAGTATTATACTTTGAATACACATGGTTTCTTGAGCAACTGTTTTTATTGTAGTTTATAACTTGTTTTATCATGTGTTTAATTTGCACATACTTATCACTCCAACATGCCAGAAACGCTATAAATCCTGTCTATACAAACACATCATGTAATCTCCTGGGTTCTTCTCCCTCCCCCTTTTTTTAAGCCAGCTTCTGCAACAGCTTACCTCTAAGGCAAGCTACAAAGCTGCTAACCCCCAGACTTCCTTTCACCAGCATCCCAGACATTCCTTTTGCTTATCCTCTTTCTGTTATTTTTTCATTTTAGGCAAACATTTCCTCCAGAAATTTATGAGAAAGGAATTATGGGTATTACATTTTTGAGATTCTACAATTATGAAAAACATTATTGAACATGGCATTTGAAGATGGAATTCTGGCATAGAAATTAGTATTTTTCCAAATGTTGAAGTTATATTTTCTAGTTTCTAGTGTTTCTTTCGAAAAATCTTATGATGTTCTGATTCTAAATCTAAATTTGTGTAATGTGAACTATTGTGCTTGTTAATCTCTTCAGAAGATTTTGTGATTATCTCTTTATCTTTGGTATTTCAAAATTGTGTGCCACTCCCCATAAAAACACAAAACAAACAAAACAATACATTACGCGGGGTTGAGTACTCAGCAGGCCTTTTTACATCCTGAAAGACAAATATGTTTCAGTCTTTGAAAATATTTTGATATTATTTCTTTGATGACTTTAGAGTTTCTCTTTACCTTGTTGTATTTCTTTCTTAAAATTTAAATTAGTGCTCTAAATGTATTACCTTTTATTGTCTGTTTTTCCATATCTTTGTGATTTTTCTGCTTTCTAAAATGTATTCTTAACTGGACCATCCCACCCTTCTGTGGATATTTTTATGTCTGTTATTATATGCAGTAATTTTTAAGAGTTATTTCTTTTATTCTGAGTTTCATTTTTTAATAATCTTAGTGTGCTCTTATGGATACATTATCTTCTATTATGTCTCTGGAAAAATTAATATATTTTTGAATTATCCTTCTATGTATTTTTCTTTTTTATCCAACATCTTATTTTCTATTTATTGATTTTGTTCACTATTTTTTATTTAGAGCATTGGTTTATATGTGGTTCTCATTGACCATGCATTCAGTTTTCAATGTTAGGCAAAATGTTGATTTACTGCTCAGAATAAAAGTTGATTGGATGCTTAGTGTGCATGAGTCAGCTTGCAAATAGCTAGTATACCTCACAGTAAGGAGAGTCACTTAATTGAGTATTTTTAAGTATATATGTTTAGGGTCCATTTATCCTGGTCTAATGATCATAGAGCAGAATTTTCTAATCTCCTGCAGGTGAGCATATGAAATTTGCTGGGGAGTTCCACTTTTGATGATGTAGACTTTCATATTAAGCCTATTGTTTTTATTTGGTTCCCTTATTTCTCTCTACTCCTGTCAGCTGTGTCTAGTGACCCAAAGATAAAACTCTCTTTTGCCTAACATCTGCATAAAGTTAATGTGTGTTGAGGAGAGAAGGGTACTCCAAGGATTGGTAGGAAAGTTAAAATTTTTTTTAGAGAAGTCATCTTTCCTGTCTTCAACAAACCTATTTTCAGTCCTATCCCACAAACGTTAGTAGTTATTTACAAGTCACTGGTATTTCTCATTTCTGAGTGATTCAGTGCTTTGCAAGGAGGGCCTTGGCTTGCTTCCTTTGTTTTTTTCCCTTGAGGGAACTTTGGCATTGGCTTCCTTTATTGTATAAGTTACCATGTATCCATCTACTTTTCTTTTACCAATTTTTTTGACACCTCTCATCTACTATAGTTTCTTCTCCTTTTCTTGTGTTTGTGTATGTTTCGCATTCATTCGCTTGTCACATGAATGCAATTGAGAAAAAAATCCATGCTCAACCAGAACTTAATGCAACTTCAATTTTGTAAAATTATTCTGTAATTCAATAATTTTTATTTTATTTATTTATTTATTTATTTATTTATTTATTTATTTATTTATTTATTTTTGAGACCTAGTTTCACTCTTGTTACCCAGGCTGGAGTGCAATGGCGCGATCTCGGCTCACCACAACCTCTGCCTCCTGGGTTCAGGCAATTCTCCTGCCTCAGCCTCCCGAGTAGCTGGGATTACAGGCATGTGCCACCATACCCAGCTAATTTTTTGTATTTTTAGTAGAGACGGGGTTTCACCATGTTGACCAGGATGGTCTCGATCTCTCGACCTCGTGATCCACCCGTCTCCGCCTCCCAAAGTGCTGGGATTACAGGCTTGTGCCACCGCGCCCGGCCAATTCAATAATTTTTAAATTTTATTTTAGTGACTTCACATTAATAACACTTTGCATTAGCTGAGATAGCAAAATGTTCTTGTGAGGAAATGGTTACTTGCTAGCTATGGAATTCAAATCTGGTCCGCACACCACTAGGAGAAAATTTATTTGAAAATGAATATATCTATATACTGATTGAATTCTTCAGTCAATAAAGAAATATTCCTACAACATGCCAGAGTGTTTAATTGATTTTCTGTAGTACTCAATTCCAAATACAAAAAACAATGTTAATGAATGAGACAGCCTATCAGTAGTATTACAATCTTTGTTTAGCTTATTCCTATAATAATTGCTACTGTTACTGTCCATGAGTTTTAGACATCACTATTGGTGATTGCTAATAAAATATTAATAAAATTGACCAATATCATAAAATGTCTTACCCAAATATATAAGATTCAGTGAGCATATTGATAACTACTATTAAATTGCTGTAACTGATGAAGTGATAAAATGAATAAACTATTGAAATGGGGGAAATTCAAGGAGAAAATGAATTCAAAAATTATATGGTGATAGTATTTTTGGCTATTTTCTATTACAAAGGAAAGATGAAACATCTAGTTTAATGTTGTTTTTGAATTAGTGGCTAGATACTGGCATTGATGATTAAGATATGAAATACAGGAAAAAGAGAAATTTGGGTGAGAAATGTTGCATTTGGTTTCAGACAGGTTAAGCTTGAGGTTCTTTTAAAATATTAAACAGCAGCCTATAATACAGTACTGCAGCTCATCAGAGATGTCTGGGTCAAATACGTAGAACTGATCGGATTAGCTTAGCTACAACAGAACAGAAATATTCCCTTATCACAAGTGTTTAAGCAAAATAAAAATTTATTTCACTCTAGTAGAAGAAGACTGTGGAGGGAACTTAGGCTAACTTGATCTCAACAAAGTTATCCAGGCTTTTTTCAGATGTCCACTCTGCCATCCCAAGATGAGATCCAAATTTTTGCCCTCCTCCTATGAGATCCAAAATTTTGCATGTATATACATCACTATGATGTCCCCAATAGCTAAAGGGAATAAAGGAAGAAGACATCACCCTTCTCTTTTAATGACACTTAGTCAACCTCCAACACCATTCTGTTTACATCTCTTTGACCAGAATTTAGTTGTATCTCAAGAGACTACAAAGAAGTCCTGGGAATAGAATCTTTTAATCTGTATGGTAACTTGACAGGCTAAAAACCAGCTTTCTGTATTTTTATAAAAATAAGAGAATGGAGGAAGCAGTATGTACCTGACAGTTATGAATTAAGTTACTGGCACATAGATTGCATTTGAAATGTAGCTATATATGAACTGGAGTAAGTATGTTAAAAATCTTATTTTTAAATCAGATTTCTGCAGTTTGCACAATGAATGCAGATGAGGAACTAAAGAGAAGTTGAGACAAACCCTGCAAGAAACTTGGAAGAAAAATGAGAGATGGGACAGTATCTCAGAAATGTAGGGTTTGTGAGAGAGTAAAGTGAAATCAGAAGGAGGTAAGTCAAAAAACGGAGGGCATTATGAGGCTGATGTCCAAGTCAGATTTTTAAACGATGCTGTGTAGTGACTCTACCTAATCACAATGTATGTGCACTAACCCTTTCCTGTAGGTATTATCATCTTTTTTATAGAAGTGCATAAATGTAGGCCTGAAAAGTTAAATAACTTAAATTGAGACACAGAGCTGTGAATTTAACCAATGCCCCAATCTCAACTCGTAATTTCAATCTATCCCGCTATTTCTTAATTAGGAGGTGTCTTAACTCTTAGGCATACTTAATTTACTTTTTTTCTTTAAATTAGGAAGTTAAAGAGCTCAGTGAAGGTGAGATGGTGTTAGAAAGAACAATGTAAGTGTGCTCTCAGTGGAACAAACTTTTTAATGGTGACAAATTTCAAAACAGTTTATTTAGGAAATTGGATCATGTGCTGAAGGTACACATTCTAATTACATTTCCAAAGTGAGCAAAGCTTATTACTATATCTTTTTTTTCAGTGACAGAATTTTTTTTATATTTAAAAACATAACTAACTTTCCTCCAAATAACCCCCAAACAAACAAAAAACTAGATTAAATAAAATTCACAGTGAGTTATACCCAACCAGCATCTGTATGTGCGACTAAACACTGTCTATTACTGCAGTGTGAACCTTATACAGTATAATAGTGTTCTGGGGACTTGAAGAAGCCCAAGTTTTAACTCTGCAGTGTTTGGGGAGAGAAGATGGAGGAAGTAAGAGAAAAGGAGAAAACATTTTATTTTTCTTAATTTTGTCCTACTAATATATTCACAAATTCCAAAAAAAGAAAAGGGAGCTTGGGATGGTAAAGAAATAGAGGAATAAGGAGTGAGGGACCCTTGTCATTGGATTTAGGACCCACTGGGACCCCTGGGTGATTTAGGATCCCCCAGGATGATCATGCCTGGAGATCCTTATCTTAATTACATCTGCAGGAACTCTTCTAAATATGACTGCATTCTGAAGTTACAGGTGGACATATCTGTTGAGGGCCACTATCCGGCTCACTAAAATGAGCATGATCAAAATTTTTAAAACATGTTTTTAAATTGGGAAATATAATAAACAGAAAAATATATAATACATAATATATGATATAATTAAAAATTATGAAGTGATCACCTGTGTACCTACTACCCATATCAATACATAGAACATTCCTAGAACTCTAAAATACAGTTTCCTTTAAGGATCACCTCATTCCTATTCAATGGAATTATTATGACTTTATGGGAATTAATTTTTTGCTTTTCTTTAAAATCTTACTACTCATATTGTAAAATAAGACAGTTTTACATATTTTTCAATTTTAAACAGATGAAAGACTATTATGTGTTTTACTTTGTGTTATGCTTCTTTTAATTAATATGATACATATAAGAACCATATATCATTGAGGGTGGCTGTAGCAAATTTATTTTCTTTACAACTTAGCTATGCATTTTATATTTGTTGCATAAGTTTGTCACATTCTATTTTTGGCTATCACAAACACATATTATAAACATTTTTTCATTTATTCTGGTGTAACTGCACAGTTTTATATGAGATGTATGCTCACTAGATGACAGTTTTTCAGAGCAGTTACAGCAATATACCTTTCATTAGCAGCTTATGTGAATTCCCAATGTTCTTGTATATTTAATAGCTCACAGTATTGGCTGAAATTTTAGTTTTCTGTAATTTCATAGATGTGCAGTTATATTCCATGGTAGTTTGAATTTCTTTCTTTTTTTTTTTTTTTTGAGACAGGGTTTTGCTATGTTGCCCATGCTGGTCTTGAACTCCCAAGTAACTGAGATTACAGATGCGTGCTACCATGCCAGGTTTATGGTAATTTTAATTTAAATCTCTCTAATCACCAATAAAATTGGGTATATTTTCATAGGCTACTGAATTTATACTTTCATAAAATTTTTGCTGGTTCAACTGTTTTTCCAATTTTTCAATTTGATTGCCTTTTCTTGTTATTTGTCTTTCTTCTTATGGTATGATTCTGGATCGAAGTCCATTTGTTAATCACTCATACTATAAATGTTTCCCTTCATGTAGTAATTGTCTTTACTCTCTTTTTGTTGTGTGTTTTTATGAGCAGAAGCTCTTTTTATAATGTAGTCAAATTTATTCATCTTTTATTTATGGTTAGTTTTTGGTACTTAAAAAAATCTTTTTTATCCTTTCTTACAAATGCTTCTAATTTTAATTTTTCTTTTTCTGTGCATCTATCACCAGATAAACCCTTTGCTGATTGACATATTCTTTTTCCAGAGATGGTAATATATTTAGGTTGTAATCAAGTCTTGCTTAGTGGGAGCAATTCTGTCACTTTAAGATGTGTTGTATAATTCTTGTACATGATTTTTCCAACTTAACTTGGAAGCTAGTCTTAATTTGCTCATTTTCATCTTCTTAGGAGATTTCTTATGGTGGGCCTTAACTATCAGTGTTTATGATAAAAGAGGGTTTCCTTTGAAATTGGTTTGCTCTGATAGTGCTTGTAGATAATGAATCTCCCAGACTGATTTCAGAGTTGATCATCCTTTATATTAGTTAGGTATTTGACTACATGAAAAAGTTTACTGTTTATCACATATTTTACATATGATATTTCAGTGAATTATTTAGTGAAAGCTATAAATACATATAACTATAATTTTATGGCAGACTCTCAGACTCATTAAATTACATAATAAAGGGGAAGCTAGGAAGTTAAGTGCTGAAATAGGAAGTCAAGTCTGATTTTTTTCAGTTCTTCCCTTAAAGTTTTAAACTTTGGAGTGACAAATTCACTTATTTTAAATTATATCACCAGTTTTAAGATAAATAAAAGAGCCATGCCATTAAACTATGTCCAGATTTCTCCTTATGAGCATTCTTTCTCTATCCAGATTCATGTAGAGGTATTCACTTTTATGATCCTGTTGAAAGTTGTTTCTGTTGTCTTACATGTTAGTTAAATGCAATGTATTATCTTTCTCTTTGGGAAGTTTAGGATGAGATATAGGAAGCCTTTGTGTGATAAAACCTGCTTAAACAAATTGATTTTATTTCTTTCTTGTTGGCCTTGCCTTCCCTCCCCGCCCCTCCCCTCCCCTTTGTTTTTTGGTTTTTTTTTCTTTTTTTTTTGACACAGAGTCTTGCTCTATTGCCCAGACTGGAGTGCAGTGGTACAATCTCGGCTCACTGAAACCTCCACCTCCCAGGTTCAAGCCATTCTCATGCCTCAGCCTCTCGAATAGCTGGGATTACAGGTGTGTAACACCATGCCCAGCTAATTATTTTATTTTATTTTTATTTTTATTTTATTTTATTTTTTTTTGAGACAGAGTCTTGCTCTGTAGCCAGGCTGGAGTGCAGTGGTGCAGTCTCAGCTCACTGCAACCTCCGCCTCCTGGGTTCAAGCGATTCTTCCGTCTCAGCCTCCCAAGTAGCTGGGACCACAGGCGCGTGCCACCACGCCAGGCTAATTTTTGTATTTTTAGTAGAGATGGAGTTTCACCATGTTAGCCAGGATAGTATCGACCTCTTGACCTCGTGATCCACCTGCCTCCGCCTCCCAAAGTTCTGGAATTACAGGCATGAGCCACCCGGCCCAGCCAATTTTTGTATTTTTAATAGAGACGGGGTTTTGCCATGTTGGTCTAGGTGATCTCGAATTCCTGACCTCAGGTGATCTGCACCCGCTTGGCCTCCCAAAGTGCTGGAATTACAGGAGTGAGCCACCACATCCAGCCTCTTGTTTGCCTTTTAGCGTGTGTATTAGATGAGTGAAATAAAGGGAGTATGGGCAAGAAAAAGAAAAATCATTCAATTCGGGAAGTTAATTTACTATTTGTCCACAATACCATTTGACTATGGTTGCTTTCTAAAAAAATTCTAGTTAAGCTTATACAGTTTTAGAAAATATAAATGACAGTGCTTTAAAGTCTTAAAATCAGATTTTTATATTTGTAATAGGAAATGTATAACTTTCCGCCTCAGAAGTTATTTTTAAAGAGCAGATTCAGTGATCTGAATTTTTATAGCCTCATACTAATGATGAAGATACATAGTTATCTGTGAGGTTATGGATGGGGTAGGGAAGTAGAAATAGTGGGCATACTGATCTTTTGACTCTATTTGCAAAAAGAGTTGGAGTATCATAATGAGCAGATCAGATATTAAGCAAAAAAATATTTAAAAATGCAATGTCTAGATTAATATAGCACTTTTGGATAAAAATGCTCATAGTTGTGCAGTTGTGTGATTTTTCTAATCCTCTTCGCCTTGTAGCTTAGGACCATGGATGATTTATCATGTAATTCTTTAAAATTGTAGTATTTGTGTAATAATACATTGTAAAGTAAATTTGGGTATTTAAAATAGCATCTAACATGTCAGACTAATATTAATCACGAAATTGTAAGCCATCATTTACATATGTTTCTATCCATGGTTTATTTTTAATATTATTTCTCATTTTGAAAAAATTCAGGAGTTCCTATATTAGAAATTCTAGTATAAATATACTTCTTTAAAAAAATTTGTTTTGTTTTTAATTATAATCACATCTTTTTTAGAAGAAGAGCAATAGAGATGGTAGCTGTTGTCTGTCAGTTTCTCCACTGAGTTATACCATATCATGCTTTCAGGACATACATTTGTTGTCCAAATATGTGTCTTACTAGTTGATATAGATTGAAGTCTGAGTAAATCTTTATCATTCTACTGGGTGTTGGGGGGTTTCTCTTAAAATCATGCTTTTCAATTTACTTGGAGTCTCTTTGGCTCCATCCCCTACTGTTACATTAGCAAAAGTCCATAGAGAGTGGAA